ATCAGTGCATTTACTATACTTGTCTTTGAATTTATATTAGTCAGTGCTTTTAAAATGGTTGCTACATTTATATTGGCCAGTGGATTTGTAGTTCTCAGTGAATTTATATTAGTCAGTGCTTGTATAGTGGTCAGAGCATTTTATATTGGCATTTTTCCATGGTTGGTGCATTTATATTAATCAGTGTATTTTCAGTGATCAGGCAACATGATTGGTTTAAATGTGGCAAGTGAAAGATATGTCATTAAAACAAATTTTATTTTACATACAACATTTACAGTGATGGTAACAACGAACACTTCATTGCAAAGTCAATGAGGTTAACAAAGCATACTTCATTGCAGACATTAAGATTTACAAAAACACCTCATTTCAGAATCATAAAGGTTAACAACAAACACTTAATTTCAAAGTCATTAAGGTTAACAACAAACACTTCATTTCAAAGTCAATAAGGTTAACAACGAACACTTCATTTCAAAGTCATTAAGGTTGTCAACGAACACTTCATTTCAAAGTCATTAAGGTTATCAACGAACACTTCATTTCAAAGTCATTAGGGTTAACCACGAACACTTCATTTCAAAGTCATTAAGGTTAACAACAAACACTTCATTTCCAAGTCAATAAGGTTAACAAAGAACACTTCATTTCAAAGTCATTAAGGTTGTCAACGAACACTTCATTTCAAAGTCATTAAGGTTATCAACGAACACTTCATTTCAAAGTCATTAGGGTTAACAACGAACACTTCATTTCAAAGTCATTAAGGTTCACAACAAACACTTCATTTCAAAGTCATTAAGGTTATCAAAGAAAACTTCATATCAAAGTCATTAAGGTTAACAATGAACACTTCATTTCAAAGTCATTTAGGTTAACAAGGAACACTTCATTTCAAAGTCTTTAAGGTTTTCAATGAACACTTCATTTCAAAGTCATTAAGGTTATCAACAAACACTTCATTTCAAAGTCATTAAGGTTAACAACGAACACTTCATATCAAAGTCATTAAGGTTATCAATGAACACTTCATATCAAAGTCATTAAGGTTATCAACGAACAATTCATTTCAAAGTCATTAAGGTTAACAACAAACACTTCATTTCAAAGTCATTAAGGTAATCAACGAACACTTCATTTCAAAGTCATTAAGTATAACAAGGAACACTTCATTTCAAAGTCATTAAGGTTAACAACGAACACTTCATATCAAAGTTATTAAGGTTAACAACAAACACTTCATTTCAAAGTCATTAAGGTTACTCTAACAACATACTCTTCTTTGCAAAGTCATTAAGATTTGCAACTAAAACTTCATTGCCAAGTCATTAAGGTATATGTTACAATTACCACTTCATTTCAAAATCATTAAGGTAATGAACACTTCATATCAGAATCATTAAGGTTAACAACGAAGACTTCATTTCAAAGTCATTATATATTTTATATAGCCATATTCTTGAAAACAAAAAAATTTAAGCCTCGTGACGACAAAACCAACGTTATGCATTTGTGACCATCATGGATCGAGACCAGCCTGCGCATCCGCGTAGTCTGATCAGGAGCCATGCTGTTTGCTATCAGTTTCTCTACTTGAAATAGGGTTGGTAAGCGAACAGCGATCCTGATTAGACTACTTGGATGCACATGCTGGTCTGGATCCATGCTGGTCGCAAATGTATAACGTTGGTTTTGACGCGGTTCATTTGTATTGTCCCGAAAATGAAAGTACTCCGGCAAAATAAAAATCTAGTGTAAATAAAAAGTGGCTATACGTTGAAGTGTTAAATATCAAGCTGAAATAATATGTGCCAAATGTTATTGTGGGTTTGTAGTTTAGAGTGCTAATGGTTTTACACAGTAATTTTTTATGTTCTGCAATTTAACATATGCTCTCTTTTTATTTTATTATTTATGAATTTATAAAGTTTTTTTGACCATGACTATTTAGATAAAGAATTGTGCTTGAAATATTGCATTGAAAATATATACTATACAATTTGTATGTTATTTATATAGACAGTGCTAAAATTTTGTTATTTATACCCCCTGTTAAGAATTTCTTAATGTCTATTTTTCTTTCACTTATATCGTTTTGGGAAATAAAGTTTTCATAGAAGATAAACAAGTTTTTCCCCTTCTTTGTTTTCTTTTATCTACTCATAGTTTGGTCAGGATATGTTATCACATATTACTGTTCTTGTGCTTATATAAACTTATTTTTTAGGAATGTTAAAGTGACATTATGCTCATATTTTCATAGTCAAATTGAGCTGAATTGACTTTATATTTCAAAAGATTAACTGACAAAATAGTGTTTGACCAACAGTTGTTATTGGAAAATGTTTTGAATAAAATTATAAATCTGCCTAAAATCTAAAAAGACTGCCCCACTCTTTTTATAAACTAAGTGTTACATGTAAATTCTAATGGATATTTACAGCAATTTCGTTGGGATCTCTGCGTTATTTATTGTTTATGCAAACTTAATTATTAAATAAAAAGGAATTATGGCAAAATGAAAACTTATTTTATATTCACCCATTTACTCATTATATACCCTTGGATGGGCATAATGTCACTTTAAGATATGTTATCAAAGTTAAGTAATATTTTTAAGTTAGTCCCTTTTTGGTGTTGATACTGGACGATCTGTCCAAAATCTTGTCTCAATAAGTCTGTATCCTATTATTATTTGAAAATCTTTAAAAGTTAAGTTTATGAAATTTCATGAAAAAGTGGCAATATGGATAAAATATACATACGGTAATGTCTTGCTTTTAAAATCACCGTGGGTAAGCAACTTTTATCATGTGACAACAAAAGTGAACGTACACTGCCAAAATAGCTCGGTTAAGGTAAGTTTTTTAGTGATTATTTTTCTGTCCAGATGATTTGAATTATGCAACATAGCCTACCGACTGCGGCAGTTCAGATGCTTTCAGTTTTGTCTAACGTTTTGTATTTTATGAGAACATTCAAACAATATTTGCGAATTGCCGATGACAACAACCTCACACTATTGTGTAAAAATGTTGATGAAAACTTAATAAATGATATGCATGTCAGTTCTTAGTAAAATTTCAGGTCTTAAAGTATGTAAAAGTATGTTTTAATGAAAAAAGAACTGGTTTCCTGCTGTCATTTTTTTTGTATTTATTTATATTTATAACTTGATAAACTTACAGAAATGTCAACGTACACATACAGTCACATACTGTGGGGCTATTATGGATTCGCTTTGTAGCGGTGGTTGGTCGGTCCGTCTCCATTTTTGTGTCCGCTTTATAACTCCTATACCAATTGAAGGATTTTCTTTAAACTTAGCTCAAATGTTCACCTCAACAAGGGGATGTGCAGAACCCATGTTACCCATGTGTCAGCTCAAGGTCAAGGTCACAATTGAAGGTCAAATATCAAACAATCAAATATTACTTAATATGTCGTGTCCGCTCTGTAAGTCCAACACATATTGAAGGATTTTCTTCAAACTTGGCTCAAATGTTCACCTAAACAAGGGGATGTGCAGAACCCATGTTGCCCATGTGTCAGCTCAAGGTCAAGGTCACAATTGAAGGTCAAATATCAAACACAATCAAATATTACACAGTATGTCGTGTCCGCTATGTAGGTCCTACACTATTTGAAGGATTTTCTTCAAACTTGGCTCAAAGTTATGCCCCTTTTTAAGTCTTCAAATTTACATACAATCAAATATTAGACAATATGTCGTGTCCTCTCTATAATTCCTATACTAATGAAAGAATTTTCTTCAAACTTTACTCAAATGTCACCTCAACAAGGTTATGTGCAGAATCTATGTCACCTTTGTGCCTGCTAAAGTTGAAGGTCACACTTTAAGGTAAAAAAATGACTTAGAAAATGTTCTAAAATTTTAACATGTACTTGAATATTTATGAAACTAGCACAGGTATTTGCTTGAAACTTAAAAGAAGGTCAAAAATTGACTTATAAATAAAATGTTTAGTACATGAAAGGTTATTTGTAGCTGTTCCGAACATTATTTGATAATATATATTTATACTATTACCTGTACAATTAGTCTTTTTTCACTGAAGATAATTTCTTTTTATGTATTTGTGCCACTAAAGTTATTCCCTTAACCACCTTTCTAAGTCGTCTTCTGTCAAGGACATTGGTGGGGGTATGAATCGCATTCAGTGATAATTCTAGTTAAAAACAGATTTTCCTATATAGAGCCTTTGTAGACTGACTGATTTCTTAACTATATGATTTAAAGACTTCAACGATTTACTGATGTCAAAGACACCAAGCTAAAAAATAGTTAAGTTTTTTCTATTTTCCAAATGGAACCTTTATTCATTGCCTTTAATATTTATGAAGGAAACGTTGGCATCTAGCTTGCTTGTCCATTGTTTCATATAACATATAATCACAAACACTGGACCAGATGTGATGAAACTATCATTTAAGCAATGACTTTGGTATTTTCATGCTGACCATTTAGAAACCCGACATGTTATTATAGCGGTAACAGCACTATCATGGTCCTGCTATATGTCCCTACGTCAAGCCTGTGGTTGTTGCACTTACAAAAAGAGTTTTAGAAACGGGTATGTCATTTACTTAAACAAATGAGTTAAGATAATGAGATTTACAAAAAAAGACGGCAGTACATTACTTCTTTGAATTTCGTAACATCAAACTTTGGGTTGCTATGGTAACGGGAATTTTTCTCGAAATGTACAGTTCTTTGTGTCTTGTTAACTATTTAAGAGTTTAAGACTGCTTTCTTCATCTTGAGATCTATAACAAAGTTAACAGATCTAAAACTCATAGTAGTTTAAGCATAATTCTTATTTCCTACTTACTTACTTACTTGTATGCACTGACCGTTACTCGATGGGAAAATAAGGTTTAGTGGCAATAGCCATGCGCGAAGTACCCCGGAAATGCAAGGTGGTGGCCAATGCAAACTCATTTAAAAGGACAATAAAACAGTTGAGGACACATTTATTTCACACAATATATTGAATAAAGCATTTAATGCAAAAAACTATACACAGAGATATATACAAAAGTTTAGAAATATAACAATAGAAGCAGGCTTACAGGGAAAGCGCACTTTATAAATAAATACTGTAATCATTTTTAAGTTATCATTTTTCAATATTTTTCTATGTTTGAATGCACTAAATTTATCAGCCTTTGTATCTGAACGGTGGCCAGTGTTATTGTAACCTTAATATGATGCTTTTAAAATAAACAAATTATTTTTACTTAACATATTTTACTATTTAGTGTCAAACATTCTTTAACAACGAAATATTTTTGAAAACAATGCAGTTTCCTTTTTACAACAGAATTCATTTGGACCGATGCCTTTAAAACAATGAAAAAATTTTAAAGTTATACATGTAACTATTTAGTGGTCAATTTTTCTTTGGAAACTCGAGTTAGGAAGGCGCAGATTTGGGGAAATTTTGATTTTCTTGCATTAATATTAATATTTTATTATTCAATGGCCTGTATTTGGTGTTAGACTAAGACGTAATCGGACCATTTCTCTAAGCTGTTCCAGTTTATCAAAATGTTTATAATGTTTGAGGTCAACGTCTGCTTCCCGCTGAAGTTTGGTCACACGCCTCACGTGCTCCTTGTATTTTGTCATCAGTTCCCTGAAATCATTAGTAATTTGGTAAATAATTAGAAAAATTTGATTTTATAATACTTATAATGTTAATAGCCTTTTTGGTCCCTTGAAAGTTAACGTGTTTTTGATATAGGTCTAATGTACGTTTGTAATAATAAAGAGTTATCAATAAATACGTTTGATGTGTTTTAGTTCATTACACAATGTTCTCAATAATAGCCAAATACAATATGACAAAATCATATTAACTGTTTAATCAAAGAATAAATACGAGCTTTTTATAAATTCTTTTGTTGCTTAATCGATCAGATAGTATGACCTTATTTTTATAACTCAATGAGACAAAGAAATTATACATGAAATCCACTTGTCCGTCTTTGTTTATATCTAGCTTTTCCATCAGTATGTCAAGAGATCGTCTGCTCAGTGGAACGTCAATTTCCTGAAAACACATCACAATAATAAATGGCCATGATCTGTACAGTAAAACAGGTCATTCCGTTCTAATAGCTTTCAATAGTATAAACGATTAAGAGGAGTTTCAATTGAACATACTCTAATGCATTCGCCTGAAAAAAAGAAACGGAGTTTATTCTGAGCTGTAATTGAAAAAAGACGCTTTTGATTGAAAATGAATATGAAAATCCTTGTCGTTGTATACGTTTCATAGATTTTAAAAAATCAATTTTCAAATATATTTAGTATTCTTTTAATGTCATCAAATTCCTATACTTTTTATAGGTGATGCTTAAACACAGCAACGTTTGGGTTTTGGTTTTTTTTCAATTATAGGTTCAGCCGAATTTATGTTTAAATGGTAACTTCTGTTTCAGTCGGTGCTACGGGGCATCCAACGTACTTGCATTACATTTTCCGCCAAAAGTGCATACTCGAACTGTGTTAGCGGACCTTTTCGTTTTCATTTGACCATAAATAACAAAATTTCTCATACCGACAATCCTCTGTTTAATTCCTCCCGTGATAACGTGTCACTGTTGTCTTTATCCAAGTTCTTCATCAGATCAATCAATCTTAGGTTCTTTGTCTTCACACATTCAAACAATATAGTAACTGGATCATCTGTATCCAAAACCACTGGATTGTCTCCCTTCCTCAGATCATCGTGACGTAACAGGTTACCATGCGTTACATACAGTGGTCGAATGTGTTGAACTTTTTTTAAAAGTGTAACAAAGTCGTTGTCAACTGACACGTCCTGTAGATTTAATACAAGTATATGTTTTATTGTCTGGTTCAGATTGTTTTTAATAGAGCAAAATTTTATAACAATTTCCCTTTAAAGCTGCATGCCTCCAAATAAGCCAAATTATTTTAAGTAAATCAAACTTAAAAAAATTTACTACGAATTTAAAAAAAGTAGATCTACTAAGACAAAATGACCCCTATGGGCTTCCGTAGATTTAAGTACTTATTTACATGTTGTTAATGATTTAAAATGTATTATATGATTAAATATACTGATTTTGCGGTATTTATCAACATATTATTGCTGTGTGACCAACGCAATAAGGGCTATTTTCGCATATTTTGGCCAGTTTCTGGTAATTAAAATTACTTTCTTAGTTCACTTCACAATATTTTCCTTTAAAATACATTTTATAATTTTCATGAAAATGCTGCTTTTACGAGTATAATGGTGCCAAAAACTCATATAATGTTTATAATTTTATTTTGAAAAAAAAAAAAAAAAAAAAAAAAAAAAAACAATCAGAGATACTATTGTAAAAAAATAATTCATACGTAAAAACAACATTCAAAAGCGCAACTACCTACAAAATGCAAGCATTCACAATAGCTGAACAATATAGAATATGGATATAGAATATATCTCACCGACATGTCAAGAGTGGTCAGACTCTTACATCTATCATCTAATACTGCTCGCAATATGGACATTGCACCGTCCGTTGTTATAGGATTGAATCCTATCTGTTAAAGAAAATTGGTTTTCCTCATTAATTTGAATTTGTCAGTAAGGAAATTTGAACGTGTAAATAAGAAAATCTTTATCATGTAGTTTTGTGTACTTTATTTATTATATCTAGAATCTACTCGTTGCAAATAGTAATATCGTTGACGTAGGTTGGACTCTAATTTAGTGCTTGTCTTTAAAACTCCAATGTGCAATCATTGTTATACAATATTATAATTTAAGTATAATAGTCAAAGGAAATACTTATTTAATCATGCTTAGGTCAAAAGGTGAAAAAATGTGCAGTCTGATCGGGACTCGAGCCAGGGACCCTCGGAATACCGTTCCGCGGCTCTCCCGACTTAGCTATCCGGCCGATTTTACATCATGTTCTCTAAATAGTGAACAGTTCTGAACTGTACGTGACACTAATACGGATGCCCAAATAAAAAATAATCAAATAAATACATTGTTATATTTTAATACGTATAAAGGCAAACCTTTAGAGTTTTCAGAATCTTGTTTTTTACCAGACCACGTAATAGCAGTTTAAATGCATCAAAATTTACTCTGTTTGACGACAGGTCGAGTTCTGTAAGTGTTCTGTTGACTTTTAATGTTTTTCCCATCTCGTGACATCCTTCTAATCCGAAACCGTTCCAGCTCAATCTTAACACCTCAAGTGTATTGTTATTCTAAAAAACAAAGATGGGATATAAGACCATTGGTCCATACACACTTAAAGAACTTTAAAAATATATATGTACAAGTTCAGTTCAGGTATATAGGTTTAAACTACTGTATATGTATTGTGTGACAAGTCCTTAACATGAATTGTTAACTTTCTGGCATGCTTCTTGGCAAACCATCTTGTCATATCATAAACCTTTACCAATTGACCAATTAAAGAAATTGTAAGGAAATATTAATTTGTGTTCAACTTTGTTATCATTAAAAAGAAGACAGCAAGCAATATGTTTTGTTATAATTAATCTAATGTTATTTATTTACCTTATTGTTACTGAACCATTTAATTGATAATTTTTAGATATGGATATGTCCTTTATTGCAAACTCATTTTTACTTATATAGTTCGGGTAATATTTGCTGGGCACTCTCTTTGGAGTAACGAAGTAGTTTATCTCGAGGAAATAAAAATCTGTGACGTCAAACACTTGAAGCCCATGCTTTGATCCGTCGAGATAATAACTAACGGCAAACATTTCCCGACAATTTGAAGCACTAAGTTGTAAATTCATATTGACACCAACTGTTCATTTGTAAATACCTTTTACAAAAGCAAATAGTGCATTGAGATAATGAAAATATTAAAAAAAAGGCAAGTGGGAGATAGCATTGATTAAATAGTTTTTATTTCTATACCTGCAAACCATGACAAAGTTCGATTGCCCCCTGCTGTCGGAGATGGTTCCAGCTGATATCGAAATGTATCAAAGTCCTATTGTGCTCTGAAGGGAAAATAGACGGTGACATGAACATTAATCAAAGACATTGGCAAATCGTTGTCACAAATCAGCAAAAGTTTAAACATCATATTGGAATCAGAAGTAATGTTTGGTTAGAATAGATAATGGCTCGATATTAATGTCAGAAAGACACATTCTTATTGACAAATTCTCTAAGATAACAGATATTTCAGAATTCATGATTGTCTGTTGTCATGTTCGCATCAATGCATCAATACATATTTATAGTGAAATGGAACTATCTTGGGCAAATTAATAAATTGTTTATACCACAAAGAATATGTACCAAAATGATTAGTAATATACGTATGGTTGTAGCGTTAGGTTTTGGTGATATTGAGCGAAACCTGCACATATATGTTTGGTTATACAGAAATTTATCTTAGTTATATACTTATAACTGAAGGTTTTAATTTCGAATTCAAATCTGTAAATGTTTGTTGGTCAAATTACTTACCAAGAGCTTTCCCAAAGTTTTCTCCGGCCGATTCTCCAAATGAATTTCGACTGATGATAAGCTCTTGTATTGTGTTGTTTTCCTGAAAATAGTTGGCAAAATATGTTTATTAGTTGTTTATTGTATTTGTTTTTGGTTGAAATTCTATAATAACAGGCAATCATGGCAACAGTATAAAATAAATGGTTTTGCTCAAATATAATGGAACGGCAGTTTATAAACAAGCAAACTGTAACATATATGTATGTATAATATTAATATGATTGCATAAACTCATCCAAATGCGTGTGTTTATCAATTTTTTTTTTGACATTTCACGTTTCCTTCTTTGCATTTTTTATGAATCATTTAAGAGAAAAGTCATTCGGCTGTTAAATGATATTTACCATCGCAAACTTGATCAAAACCTTTCAAAACAATGAATACTTTAACACAAAATAGTCCCATTTTGTAAAAGAATGTTGTACAACTGGTCACCTTCAAAAATTCTTCAACAATATGCTGATGTCAAATTATCTTTAATAGGTTCTATATCATTTCGTTGGGTTTCGCAAATAAATATTAAATTGAGACATTACTGGTATGACGGAAACTGTAAAGAAGGACATTGAAAAAGTAGTTTTGTATTTTATTGTGCGTCATAATACCCTTCTTCGATAATAATAGATGAATTAATAATAGGTATTTTGTCATTAGTTCTGCTGTAAAAATTTATCTTATGTACGGGAAAATAATTGTCAACATAATTTGAGAAAAGAATTGTTAAAATTTATATATGTATTATTACTTCGATTATTTCAGCTAGAAAACGAGAATCTTCGTCCTTAAACCCATTGCCTGAAAAGAAGAAAAAGCATCTCCATTTGATTAAATTACGTAAATTATGTTTTAACAAAGACAACAATAATTTTCGTTTCGTCTGAAATTTTATCACATATTTCACAATATTTTGATTGAACATGTTCTTTCTAAAGCAGATGAATAACTTACAATGAAATTATCAGAATTAGTTTTCTGCTCAAAGTAAAAACGCAATAATGCCAGCTCTTAACTCCTTATCAGTACAGTTTACTTGCATATAGATATTTGTAAATAAATTTGTTTGGCATATCTTTTGCAAAATATGTTGTACTTATATCTGACGAAATAATGAAGTAAAAGCATAATACCTGAGATATTTAACTTTTTAATTGTTTGATTATTAATGAACACGCTGGATATCAGTTTCGCTCCTTTGGAATTAAAGAAATTGTTGGATAGATTCTGAAAAACAAATTAAATTCAAACTATTAATTGTTAATTTGAAAAAAAAAGAATTCAAAATGAGAATAACCTGTAAATTATATAAAGTAATTCTAATAAGTCTTATTTTAGCAGCATTTTGTTACTGTAGCTTTCTGAAACATTGAGTACTTTAATCAAGTTGTTATCTCTGTTTTATAGTTCAAAGAAATAAGTGGTCAGAATTATTATAAACTGGTTCAGACTTACAATGTCCGTTATTGAAACATTCTCTTCCAGCATTTCTAGAATATATTCAAGGCCGTCAATCGAAATCCCAATTGAGGAAAGGTCTACAACTTGAACCACTTTGTTCACCTGAAAATTTATATGTCGACGTTTATAGTTTTTTCATTTTATTACTATTATTATTGTCAGCATTATTATTATTAAATTTTTGTTATTAGTGTTATTATCATTGTATTAAAATATACTTTTCTTTATCTCTCCCTTTTCTCTTTACAAAATTGCGTGAAAAAGTGTATAAAACGTACACTTTCATTCTATGAAATAAGTATCTAAACTGAAATAAACTGAAACGCAACTTAAGACCACCTTATTAAACAAACAACTTACCTTGTTAAACAGCTTTTATTTAATGCAATCTGATATCAATGTACAGAAAAGGGTAGTGTTGTTCTTACCACAAGTGCTGTAGCCATTGCTTTGGCACCGATATCACCGATAGCATGGTTTTGTAGTGGTACCTTTACTGTAGTCAAGTGTCTATACAAGAATGTTGATGGTGTAACTTTGAACAGAATACAAGCTTTCAAATATATTCTTTGACAAACATCATTTGTCGTGTTGATATCTGGCGTCTGTTCTTCGTCGTCATCACAATCTAGTAAGGTGTCTTCTTCTGATATGCAAAATAAATAATATATGAGCAGAGCCATGTCAAAAATCAACATAGTGCGTTTGCGACCAGCATTCGCGCAGTCTGATCAGGATCCATGCTGTTCGCTTACAAACACTATTACAAGTAGAGAAACTGATAGCAATCATCATGAATCCTGATCAGACTGTGCGGATGCGCTGGCTGGTCTGGATCCATGCTGGTCGCAAACGTACCATGTTGGTTTTGTCGTGACACGGCTCATATCATGTATGTACGTTTGACTAGTACTAAATAGTTTTCGTATTTTCTGTTTGTTTGATTTTCTTCTAAAATATGTTATATTTGCTTGTTGTTGGTTTGTTGTTCTACAGCATATAATACTCGTAACATTTTCTATAAAAATATTAGTTGATTTTGATTTAAAAAGTTTTAATGCCTTTCAAAGTTATCAATATACCGGTAAGTTTAGGATTTATTTATGACTGTCATTCAATTCTATTTTATTTAATTGCTACTGTTATGTTATAAAAATACATTGATAAATATTAAATAGGTAATAAAAACTGAAAAAATATGTACCTGTAATCATTATTGTGTGCTTTTTACTCTGTAATTCATATTTTATTTACTAATTTAATCCAGCTTCAATTTATTGCTTCAAAATGAATAAGGATGCTGCTCCATTAAACTATTTTAAATGCATTTCAAGTTAATATATTGATGTTGTGCATGGGCGACGGTCTATGTTAATGGTGCGATATGTTTTGTGTGAAGTTTTAAGCAAACATCATTATACAAATCAATGTTTTATAATAAAATCTAACAACTTCTCTGTAAAATCAATGTTCTTTATATTTACATTTCCATATTTAAAGTCCATGTCGATACTTCCTTTTAAAAGGGTAATTTTTTAATTGTCCCTGGTGTATCAATGCACAACTGATATATTACGCCATGCTCTTCAAATACAATATTAATCCACAATTTGCTGTGTTTTGCAACAAAAAAGTAACAGTATAAATATGGAAACCATAGTTATAAATCATGTTAAGTGTTGGAAGCACTATAATGAAACCATATTTATTACAAAAACGTTATTGTTGGTGTAGTTGCTTTTGCAGCAATGTTGTTCATAACCATGTTCACTTAATGTGCATAGAATGACGCCATTAATTTTTATGTTTTTACAAAATATATTTGCACATTTAAATGATTGAGTATGACCGTACAAGGTATTTATACGATGAATCAATGTCACTATCAATAAGAACGCTTGATGTGTTTAATTAGATAGATAAATTATTACTCAACAAACAATTTAAACAAAATTTGTTAATGTTATGATATAAAAAGTTAGATAGATAGACTCCTTTATTCCCTCCATTGATGAAGAGCTGCTGTGTACATGATACAAATATTGTTACAATTTCTACTTTGGGGAATCTTTTCACAATAATGTTATCATTGGTCATTGCTCTTTAGGGCAAAATCAACTGAATAATGTTGAAAGTGTTACTTTTTATCAGGTAAAGATTCCAGAATAGTCACTTAAAAACCTGAATTTCAACCATTACTTTAATATAAAGAGAAAAAGATCAGTATCTGAGCAATAAATAAGTAAAAAGAGAATAAATTACCAAGTCGCATTCTACATTAATTTGATCATATTGAAATGCTTTAATATTTAAAATTTGTTTATTGTACGAAGTGTAGAAAATAGTACGTTATATCGAACATTCAGTAATTTAGTATGTATAGCGGACATATACAAATTCATGACTTAAAAGGAAATCATACATTTGCAATAAAGCATTAAATCAAGCATTATATCATTGTGTGATGTTTAAATAAAACTTCAATCAAACACATTAATTAAACACGTTGTTCTTCACGTGTGGTTGATGATCAATAACTTTTCACTGAATTTGCGTTTTGATCTTTTCTATTTCAATTAGAATTTATTATATAACCACAAAGCTGTTTTATACGTCATCCTTTTATAAAGGACAAAATAAAAAAACCGTTATAGTACTTCATTATACAACAATTAGTGATCTTAAGAATTCTGTTGACCTTAGTTCTGTGACATTCTCAATAATGTTAAAATTTGTATAAATACAGGCGTCAGTAAATACAATGGTGTGCTATTAATATACTTGTTCGTTCAGCATTACGTATGTATAGTTATAATAAACACTTGAAAATCAATGACAATTGAAAGACAAATCTTGTTTATATTCTATCAGGGTACTCAAAATTGATTGATAGCTTCATTTTATGATGTATTTAACAATGCTCTATTATACTTGTTTAAGACGTAACGCAATTGTTGACGCGCATAGAGAGAGTTGTAATGTTAAAATGAACATGTTTTGTGAAAACAAAAACAATAAACATACATTTAGTTTATTATATGAAGATATTTCTATTCTAGAAAGCTAAGCAAGCAAGCTTCTACCAAATTAAACATTTAGCCATTTTTATCGATAGTTCAGATTTGGTGTTCCCTATCATACATACAGATATATTTATATATTATATCTTAAACAATGTCTTCCTATAACTGAGAGTGCAATTTGATGAAGTGGATAGCTTTGTAGTGTTAACATATTTTTATCATAGGAAATAAGACATCCAGAAATAAAATTCATCAAATATTATAATAAGGGCAAACTCTTGCATAAGAACAATAATTGATATGCTGAATTCGAGTAGTATAGTCCAAAACCTTGAAAATGAATTAGGAACAGGGCGTTGTTTATTTATATATGACCATAATAAAGTGTGTTGTTTAAACATAGTTTTATAAAGTTAAAGATCAATGACTTTAGTCAACCATACATTTTTGGCTTCTCAACGGCCCTATGTTTTCGGTTTACCAAACTTTAATGAGTAATTCAATGAGACGAATTTATGTAAGGTAAGCATACCTACTTCATGATAAGAAAACTAAATTACATGTACCCCCAAAAAAAATATTATTTGAGGATCAAAATAAAACACTGCTGAGATATTTTTTAATCTGCTTGTAGTCCTTGTTTTTGGTAGAATACGTTAGAAACGTACGTACATATATCGATTGTTTTGGAAACAATGTGTGTAAGTTTGGAGAGGATATACATTGTTTTATCGTTTTTGTTATTGATTTTTTTTTGTATTTTGCTAATTTATTGTTAAATTCACAATATTACATTAGATAAAATTAAATAATATTAGACTATTAAATTAAAGTGTCCCATTGAAGGTTACATGATAACCGCCATATATGCGGATGTTTCTAAATTAAAATTTCAACATTTTCGTGTTTAAATATTGAATTCTGCTTATGCCGGTGCAAGGGGGCGTGGACGGTCACTTGCACTTTCCATTACCGTCCATGAACAGGCTCAATCCAAACGAGCCTGTATTATTTCTATTTTTTGTCGTTTTGGGCGTGACTGAGGCATTCCGTTTTTTTTCTATATTTTAGTCAGAATAAAGCGTATCATCAAAACAGAACTGAATGAATTTTCGTTTTTCTTCTTAGCATACTTTACAGCATCCCTTGCATATAACGTTTCCAGAATGCAATTATCTATATATTTAATGTTTATTTTAATTTCTCGAACTTGATACGCTTTCTTTAGACTCATAACATTTTTCTGTTATATCATTATGCATTAACATACATTTTGAATTTGCTTATGTTTCTCAATAATGTGACATGCATTTATTGTAACCAACCATTTTATTATTATATCATAGCTTATTTTGCTAATTTAAATAATGGTTCCAATGTTTTATACAGTAAGGTATTCATGATAAATAAGTAGGTATATACGCTATTTTCATTCAGAATTTTGGCTTGCATTTATAACAAAGAGTCAGAATTTGAATTTCTTTTAGAACGCCCAAAAGAAAAACAAATTTTTGCACTAGGTACTAAAGATTTGTAAACATAATTATGATAAGAATTCGGTTCAAAATAATGACATTTTAATATCTTAAGATGCATACAGTCAGGAAAAACAAACAATAATCTTATTTCTGATTTACAAAATGCCTTGTAATATATTAGAGCAGACAGGATGAATTAAGTGTGGGAGGCGATGAGAATCAATCAATCATATTTCAATATAAAAACGAACAATAAACTTAATTTATAGTAAAAAATATCACAAATAGAATTCGACTCAAATGCTATTTATAATTGTATTTCAGTCTATTGAGCTAAATGTATAAATTTATATGTAGAAAGTTTATTGTTGTAAATGTCTCACTTTAATAAGAAACAAATATTTTAAATTTACGTGTCACAATGGAGGTTCCTTGATAACCGCTTTATGAACACGTCTGCAGATGTTTCAAAATTCTAATTTTTACCAGTTCATGTTAAATGTTGAATACTGTTTAAGCCGGTGCTAGGGGACTTTGACGGAAGCCTCATCTTACCACAACCATTGAAGTTTAAATGATGACCGCCATATAAACACATCTGCCGATGTTTCTAAATTCAAATTTTACCATTTCGGTGCAAAGGAGCATGAACGGTAACTTTTACTTTCCATTACCGTCCATGAACAGGCTCAATCAAACCGAGCCTACAACATTTTCAATTTTGACGTGTTGGGATTTTTTGGGGAATTACTTTTCTCTATTTAGTACTTTAATAAACTAAAAGGAAAAGTTACCTCCCAGAATATAATTTTAATATTTCGCAGCTGTACAAAACACAAGAAATGAATCTTTTATTAATTGACAATTTTCGTAGAAACATTCAACTCCATATTAATAAGGAACATAAAGCAATACTGCTGCAATGGCATCACTTAGGAAGATTTTAATTACTTAAATAGTCTGACTTAATCACGACAAAATAGTATGTTTGACTGTATATTTTTTTTAAGAAAAAAAGTTAATAAAACCATACCTGCCATATTTAGATGCTAATGCTGCTAGATCAGTCCATTTTACGACGAATATGTTGGCACATATTCACTTACACGCGCGAGCAGTAATCATTTAGAAAAAAAAGTTCTACATAGCTTTATCTGTTTGCATCCACAGAAAGTTTTCTACAAAGGATATCCAGTAGTTTCAATCGGCTTTAAATGTAGAATCTTCAAAATCTGTCAACATTTATTTAAGCATTACTGTCGAGCAAATATCATGTTTGACAATATTAGTTTTAAAACTTGTCGTGATATAATTTATGCAAATCATTGTACTTAACTTAAAGCCACACAACTTCACTTTATAATAATGGTTTTCAAGAGGGCGCTTTGTTTGCTCTTTAAAAAGTTAATATTCCATGTCACTTTACTTCTTGTATAATTTCCAAAAATAACATTTTTTTTTAAATATCTGGTACAACATGAAACGTCAAATTATATTAAAATAGTGTGGCCGAAAAAAGTTATAATTGTACAAGTATAATACTGGTCATATTTCTAAAACATTCTACAGTTATCCAATTGAATCTATTACGAGAATAAATCACATAATCCAATATAGGAACAGATGACTTGCGGTTTTTTTTAATCCATGTAGCATTCATAACAGAAAGCTCGTGTACTTGTAAAAGCTGTATCATAAATATAACAGTTTAACCAAATAATTGAAGAAATTTATCGATAAGTAACTTTCCATCCTTGTCATAAACCACTCTCGCGTGGTTACCTTCAGTGCCCCTGGTTTCCGGATAGTCGACATTAGTTAAATGAATATAAATTGATTTGGTTTTGCTATATT